ACGATCCTCATTTGGGTCTCAACCCGGGGTTAGGAACCACTGAGCTAGGAGGTTCTTTAAACCTCTCTGGATGGGGAGGTCTGGGTTGTCATTCGTGCGGACAACCTCTCTGTATGTAGCTTCATCACTGTGAATGTCTGGAGAAGCAATGTTGGCCAGCACTGGTAATCATTGTATATTGGTGTAGATTTCAGATTTTGGGTGGTAGGACACATTGTGGAATTTAACTGAACATCCATGCATTTGGCATGAGCATTAGCAACCCAGACAGGTGCACAGTACTCACTCGTTGAGAAAACCAGTGCCATAACAGAGGCGCAGAGTACTCCCACAGTGGCACCCCAGCTCGTTCCAGCAAGTTTTTGCACTATGTTCACCCAACTCTTGATCTTCACAACTGTTTTTTGAAGATGATTACGAAAGGTTAAGGTACAGTCGAGTGTTGCTCATAGGTAGGTCAGAGTTGGATCACGTTGTAATTTTTCTCCTCAAAAGGTGACATTGAGATTAACATGTTCTTTGTGGTTGTTGAGGTAAAACACTCAGATGAAGGACTCTAGTTGGATTCAGTCACAGCCTTCACTTGCAGAAATATTCTGCCATTATTGACAGGTCTAATGTCAGCATGTCTTCAATCTTTTTGAAGGTCCTTGCCTGTGCGGTTAGTGCCAGGTCATCGACATGTGCAAATTTCCTCAAAGAGGTAGCAAGTATATCACTTATTAGTGTTGAAAACGGTCGGAGCAAGAACATTTTCCTACAGGAGGCTGTTATTTAGTGTCCTTGGTGTGCTCATTTTGTCTTGGAAGTACACATGTCTGTCAGTTCCCCAGAAAGGTCCACAAAGACAGAGCAGCTTGACACCCAAAGTGACCTGAGGTTTCAGAGGGTGAGTGGCCTGTAATTTCTGGGGACCCTTTTGAGGGATGTCGTTATGGGCACTCAGAAAAACAAGGAACCTTAGGCTCTAGTCACTTTTGAAAATGTTGATCCTTTTATTTAGATACTAATGGAGGAATGAGAGTTTCTTTCGCAAATGCAGTTCATAAGTGCAGAGCTCCAGATAAATGACACTTCTCTTTGTGTGGGCATGGAATAGATGGCAACCTGCAGGCTTTGAAGTAGTTCTCATGCCATATGTCTCCATTATGCACTGATACATTGGTCCGATATCAGATCTGCACCAATATAAAGACAATTGACTATATCAGAAATTGTCCTGATGTGGCCGATAATTCGTCCGATAAATGCCCATGCATGCGCGCAGCATGCAGGCAGCAAGGAGCATAGCCTGGCAGTGTGGAGAGCTGCGTGTAGCTGATAAGTCAGTTGTGATGGAAGGGGAGGGGGAGGAAAGAGGTATGGGTGGGGGAGCAGATTAATGCCCCCGCAGTGAGGGGGAGGGAGTGGGGCTGGGGCTGGGGTAGGCACTGCCCGGGCAGGGCAGGGCAGGTGTGGGATGGAGCCATGGCTTGTCCAGGGCAGCAGTGGCAGTGCTGGGAGAGGGCTGTGGGATGGCTACAGCGAAAGTTCTTCTCCCCTCCCCATTACTCCTCTTTCCAGTGCCATCTCTGCCTGCCCTGAGCACAGCACTGCAGCCTTACTCTGGCTGGGCTGCACCTGCAGGGGGTGTTGATCTACCCTCCCCCTCCCTCCCCCGCCCCTCTTCCCCTCTCCTCCCCTTTCACCACAACAGACTTATCAGCTGCACGCAGCTGTATCAGAAATCGGATTGGTGTTGGCTGATGTGCCTCCCAAAAAATTGGTTATCAGTATTGGTGCACCTTTAATTATCTTCTGTCCCTCTTACTGTGTCATTGTTTCTCTGTTTTCCAGCCACACAGGCTTGGCTTGGTCTTCATGTACTGCACTTACGTATTTGTGTTAAACTCTGGCACTAATGAAATTGAAATACTTAAGAGGCTCCACTCATTTTGCTGCACCCTCTGCTTTGCAGCTAACCCAAGGAAAACAGTTCCTCCAAAGCATTCATGAAAAATATCACTAGTAGGCTCATTAAATGAAGGTGGTGCAATAGAGCTCTTTAGAAACAGGACTCGGTGTTGCTAAGTGAATTTTTTACAGCCACCCTTCAGCAAGGGGAATAGTCAACACTGCCAGAAGTGGTTCAGTTCTGCACCTTCCATGAAGACAGAATTGATTTTGGAGCTTCTTTTTTTTAAATAGATTTCAAATATATAGTGATATTACTCACTTAGAACAATGGAAATGAGATGTGAAGAGAACCTGTCCTAAGCTTAATAACAGTCTATTAATAAATGTATCCTAGGACAGAGGGAATTAGAAATAATATTAATGGGAATATCTTATTGCTGGGCATTCATTAATACACCATAATTACAGCGCATTTAGTACCTGTAATAACACATACTAACTTAATGCTCCCTAATCAGTGCTACTGCACAGTAGCACTGGCGCACACTTCTTTGTGACACTAATGCACAGTAGACTTTCTGCTGTGCATTAGCACAGTTTTTGCCTGCTGCACTAATGCTTAGTAGAATTAGTCTACTGTGCATTTAGCGTCTCATGTAGATGTGCCCACTGGGAAGTTAGACAATTATCCTCCAAGCTTCTGAAGCCTATGGGCCATGATCTGCACTCATTTTTGCTGATATAAATTTGGAGTAACTCCACTGATTACAGTAGTGTCCAGATTTAATGTCAGAACTGAGATTAGCATCTTTCGCCACCTACCTAGGTGGCTAAAAACATGCAAGCGTTTCTAAGGCACATAGGTGAGAGTTTGAACCCCTTAAAGAGAGACCTGCTGCTGTGGCCAAAGGTAATAGTCTAGTCTTTCATATGCAAAAATAGCATGGGGAACTTGCAGGTGTGAGCAGATGCAGTCTAGCAAAGCACTCTTTCTTAATGAGTTGCTCTGTTAATTGTCTGGTCAGTCACTTTTAATATATTTACTTAACTGTTAGTATTCCTTATCTTTAAAGTATTTCTGAAAGTTTTTCTAAGGGCTTAATCCCCATCAACAAACAAGTCTTGCTTCGTTCTGAATACTTAAGAGAAAGGTCAACCCTCTAAGAAGTAACAGCTGCAGCTCATTTACTTGGGGGAAAAAAAAAAAAAACCCCCCCCCCCCCCCGCCAACTTTCCTTTCTCATACCTCTGTTCTTTACTCACAGAGAAGTGTTGCTGGACCACAGGTCTTTAACTGAGAAGTTCTGTTGCTGTTCCCCAGTGTGCCACTGTTGTGCCAGTGCCATTGTGCAGTCCCTAACCCCTAAGCCTGAAGGTGTTCCACGTTTCATAAGGCCGGTGTTATAACTGAGCCAGGAACAAGCTGCAGGAGCTGCTGACACCCTGTGGAGTGGAAGGCCTCCTTCCAGTGCCTCTCTAAAAAGGGAGAGAGATGTAGTATTTGTTTCCAAGATTAGTTTCTTAGGGTTTTTTTTTTTCTTCATCAGCTTCTCTTAATAACCCCATAAACAAAGTGGTGGCCTGAGCCTGCTGCTAAGTTTAACCCAGTATACAATGTCTTAAGTGGCTTGTGTGTGTTTTCATCAATATGTTTTGCCAGCTAATTATTGATATGGTTTGAGATCAGATTTGCCTATCCCATACAGACCTATTTGCTCTCTCCAAGTTCAGCCCTACACACCTCTATGTGCACTTCTCCACCTGCATTTGGTGCTGGGTTACTTCCTTTAATCATGCAGGGAGGTTCATGAAGCGGGGGCCGTTGCTAGTGTTACATCCTGGAATGAACTATTCTCTGTTGTTTAATGCTTATAGCTCTCTTAGACCATCTCCTCGTAGGCAAGGAAAAGAGAGCACCATGGTATTGTTTGCAACTTGTTTAAAATGTTCATAATACTATGAAAGGTTTTAGCACTGCTCCTCTGACTCATGCACTTTTATCTGAAAATCATGCTAGCTGCAGCATGCTGGAGATTAGCTCTTTTTAACGTAGTACAGTAAAAGCCGCATTATCCAGCATCTTACAAGCCGGCACGCTCTATTAACTGGCATGCCAGCTTGTAAGGTAAAAGCAAAACTGGAAGTTCCCACTGTGACACTTCCGGTTTCGCCAAGCCCCCACGGCCCAGGGCAAAGCAGCCTGCTCTGCCAAGCCCCTTCGATAACAGTTCTTTTTCCCCTTTCTCTTCTGCCCCCCTCCTTATCCCTTGCAGCGGGAGGGGCAGTGGTGCACCAGATTCGGCAAGAGAGGCAGCGGCCCGAACAGGCAAAGACGCCTTTTCGGGCCTCTCAGGTAACTGGCACATTTGGTTATCTGGCACCCCCCATTCCCCACGGGTGCCAGATAACAACGCTTTTGCTGTACAAGCTTTCTTACATAATTCAGGGTCATAAATCTGATTCTTCATTTGGCATGAAAACCATACTAGAAATCTACTTGGAATAGCTATGTTGAAACTCAGTTGGAGCTGACACAGTTCTGCTGTCACTGTGGATAGGACCTTATGCCTTGTACTTGGACCTTGGCAGGCAGAGGAGTATATTGTACTGTTACTTTAATTTAGTTCTGCCATACGGCATAATACATGAAAGGGTTGTATATGGTTTGATCTAGTTGAGAGCTGCAATAAGACTTGCAGGCTGTCTGGATCACCCTTTCAGGAATACATTTTTCTCTCTGTGTATAATTTTCAGGAATTAAATTGTCCATGTATTGCACCCTGCAGAAATGTATTCAATCAGCTGCTACACAAAATGGTTACCTTTTAAAATAAAGTGGGGAAGAACTTTCTTGTTAAAATGAAGCACAGTACTGTGTAATTAAGCAAGGGGTGAGAACTGAACTCCCTGAAACTCTATAACTGTTCCATTGATTTTTTTTTTTTGCCTTGGTTTTCAGCAGATGCCCTTGGCTGCTTTTCTCCCCTTCTGTGGAAATGAGGATTATACTTTTCTAGTTATTTTAGGCTCCGTTAATATTTGTTCAGTGAACTGAAAATAAAGACAGCTATACAAATGCTAAATATTTTATTATTTCACCTCAGGAATTGTCAAGCACAAGGAGAAAAGGTTTCCTGATGGAACATGCGGCCCCTTTCTCTGCTTTCCTGACTGACCGCTTTGGACGTCAGCACAACTACTTGCGGATCTCCCTGACTGAGAAATGCAACCTCAGATGTAAGTCCGCCTGTCTTCACTCTGCTTGTCTTGGTGAAGTTCATATACCCCATGGGATGTAGGAGCATGTGCTTATCGGCCAAAACTTGCATTAGGTTTGCTATAGCTGACTCAGTTATCTGTTGTTGCGTATCTCATTTTGATGAAGTCACATAAAGGGTCAGAAGAGATCGTAAGTGTTCTGAGCTGCTGAAGAGATGAGAGAACATGGGAGCTAATTCAAAGATCTGGCCAATTATGAACAAGAATGGTTTATTTTGAGTGAAAGGGCTTTATGCATGTGCCTGTTAGCACCAGCACACAAATTCATGCTAACTATATCACACACATTCATGCTAACTATACATTCTTACACACAGGCAGAATCTGTATACCTATGAGAGACCAGCTCTCTAAGTCTGTATGGATCTTTGGGACTGGTCCTGCCCTTATCCATTGCAGGGTCTGTCCTGTATTGAGACTAGGTTAGGTGGTGACCTGGGGCAGCGTCCTTCCAAAATGTACAATGGTTAACATGATTTTTAAAACCTCAAGAGTGAGTGACAGTTGTCTAAAAAGTAAGCAGGCTGCCTTGCTTGTGGGTTTCTAGTTTGACTCTGCAAAGCAGAGCAGTTTTTAAGAACCACACGTTATAGGCAGTTGCTACGCAAACAGCTCCCAAGTGCACTAACACTTTGATGTCAAGGGTTGATCCAGCCCTTTACTGATGATTGCATTTGTCATGTTTCTGAACTGGTTGCTGCAGGTCAGTACTGTATGCCAGAGGAGGGTGTTCATCTGACTCCCAAATCCGAGCTGCTTACTACTCACGAGATTATCACCCTTGCCAGACTCTTCGTAAAGGAAGGCGTGGATAAGATTCGACTAACTGGTGGAGAACCACTCATCCGGCCTGATGTGGTTGATATTGTGGGTGAGTTTCTGGTCAGACTTATTCAACTTTTGTTCTGCTCATGATATATGGGGACTCTTAAAGGCAACTCCTCTCACTTAAATTGAGCAGGGTTTCTTAGGGTGATCTGACAGCTCAACTCTTAGTGTAGTCTATTGTTCACAAATAGTAACCTTTTTGGACAATTCCATGCCCACCCCAAGCCCTTTGCAATGCAGGATTGCTCCATAAAGAAAACTAAGTGTTTGGGTTCAGTTCTGTTTAAGGCTCCCAAATGATGGGGGCTCTACCATTTCTATGTCTTTACTGGCCAGTGTCTTACTACTATACTGGCTATAGAGCCTGTGCACTGTGCCCATGTTCAGTGTCAGACAGAGTGAATTACATTGATTCAACCTGGAGATGGCAAATGCATGCATCACTCTGGTCAGGGGTGATAGGTGCCTCCTGAGTCTGGGGAGGGCACAATTTGTGGACGGGCCCGGGGGTGGCCAAAAGCCCCATATCCACTCTATACTTCTGTGCAACGGCTTAGTGCCCCACCCCACCCCCAATACACCGCCGGCCCGCGCTGTAAAAAAACTGCCCCGTTGAGTGGTGCTGAGAGGTGGGGAGGAAGGGGCACATACCCCCTCCGTACCCCACCCCCCACCAGTCACCTGTGACTCTGGTCAAGTTCCTGTCTTGGAGGAAGTGACAAAGATTCCTGGAAAGCAGAGGTGAACACAAGCATGTTTAGAAACTGATGTTATTTGGTCATTGAAGCTTAGTGAAGAGTCATAAGGGACCCAGAGGCTCTCTGCCACTTTGTTGAGTGAGACCTGTGTTACCTCAGTTGTGAGAGGAGAAAATGTCTGGGTTACATGCTTAAAATATTTCTCCTTTCTGACCAGCAACATGTTGGGTTTCCCTGGGTTCAGCTTGAGTCAGCTGCTTTTTCTTTTGCAAAATTATTTCTTGTGAGCCTATGATACCTTACTAATGATAGTGGTTGCATTAGGAGCAAATAAAGAGATGCTTAGTTGTGTGTAATTGGCAACTGAACCCAATGAGTCTGAAGGCCTCTTGCTGGACTTATGAAGGTGTCAAAGAAAGGGGTTAGTATTGAATGTGAAGGGCCTTCAGCAAGAATCCATTATCCATTGCAACCCCGAGTTTTTGTAGAGAAGAATGATTGGAGCTAGTTTCTGTCTAGTCCTGTTATGTCATGTACATTGACTAGCAATATATCATTATCCTCTCTGCCAAAGTCAACAAAAAGACCCAGCAGCATAAACATGGAGCTGAATGAATATGGAGGCATTTATGATACACATCCTATTGGTTGGCTACCTCACTTGTTCTGTACTGCTGATACCTTACTTTGTTTTCTCTGCTGTAGTGGAATAATCCTGTGAGAATTGCTTGTTTTGCTTAAAGAAAGATTCTTAATGAATTTAGGTATTCTTTGTGACACTGGCCTTTTAACGTTCTACATGAGTGCTTTGTCTGCCATGTTGGAAAGCTGGCAGACAAAGCAACTTGGAGATCATTGTGGTTGATGTCAGAAAAGCGGGTAGCATAGCCAAGGTGTCAGATGTAGTAGATACTGGGTCAGATGAGCTCATTGGTGTCATGGACTCTTTTGCATGTCCCCATGAAACCACGGAGAGTTGAGTCTGTATTATAATCATACATGTCTTTATTCTTATAGCTGTTGCATACCTTGTGATGCATGTATCTGGGATATAAAAGTAAAATCCCCAAATCAGTATCTTACAATTTACAATGAAGGGAACTCTCACTGAGCATGACAATTCCATCAACATTTTCTCAAGACTTTAAGGAGAAGTGGCTGAGGCACCATTACAGCAGTGATTTCAGGACAGGTTAGTTAAGATATTACTGTATTTACCTGAATCCAAGACAACTTCAAATTTTAAGATAACCCCCTTAATAACTAGATTCTCTACATGGAAAATTATAACTAACTTATAATTTTCCATTAAGACAATCTAATTAGTGGAACGTTGCCTTAAATTCATTGGCCTCCCTGCCCACTGCTGTCACTGGGAAAGCAGCAGCAAGGGGTCAGACCCCTGCCCCTTGTCCCTCCCATGTTAGTACCTGTGCCTGCCCCCTGCTCTTGCCCCCCACCTATGCCTGCCTCTCCACTACTTGCTTCCTTCACCCCCTGGTCCTCCTTGCAGACTTCCCACCTGCAGCCTACCCCCAGCCTAGTGCAGCCCAGCCCAGACAGGGAGAAGTGGTGGCTGGAGGGAAATGGCTACAGCAGAAGGTTGAGCAGGGGGGACAGCTGGAGGTAAGGGGAAAGGTTTCAGGTTTCCCTCCCTCCAACCCCATGGTCTGCCCCACACTTCCCCCAAATGCATTCCCTGTCCCCCAACAAATGAGCCATTCTGGCCCAGGGTATTCATAGAATGTAGGCTGGAAGGGACCTTGGAAAATGATCAGGTTCAGCCCCCCTGCACCAAGCAGGAAAGAGAGGTGGAGTCAAGTGACTCTAGCAAGGTGACTGTCCAGTCTCCTCTTGAAGATTTCCAGGGTAGGCAATTGCACCACCTCTGGAGGGAGCTTATTCCACAGTCTGGACACCCTAGCTGTGAAGTTTTTCCTAATGTTGAGCCTGAAATGATGTTCCAGCAGTTTGTGACCATTGCTCCTGGTTTTCCCCAAGGGTGCCCTGGTGAACAGTTGATGTATATCGGTGTTGTAGTGGTAAGCTACTACCAAGTCCCCTTTCAGCCTTCTCTTCTTCAGGCTGAAGAGTCCTAGGTCCCTCAGGCTTACTTCGTATGGCTTGCCTTGAAAGCCTCTGACTATATGGGTGGACCTTCTCTAGATTCTCTCGAGCTTTTCCACATCCCTGTTAAAGTGTGGCACCCAGAACTGGATGCAGTACTTCAGCTGCAGTCTCACCAATGCCAAGTAGAGCGAAAAAATTGCTTCCTTGGTTTTACGGGAGATGCATCGATTGATACATGCCAGACTCTTTTTTGCTCTGCTGGCTACAGCTTCATACTGCTGGTTCAGGCTCATACTGTGATCAGTTATTACCCCCAGAACTCTTTCATTTGTAGTGCTGGTCAGATTGGCATTGCCGAGCCTGTAGGTATGCAGGGGATTGTTCGTCCCCAGGTGGAACATTTTACATTTCTCAGTGTATGTGGTGGCTCAGCTTCAGCCCCAAGCCTGAGGCCAAAGCCAGAGCTCTGAGCCTCTGAGTACCAGGGGGCAGGTACTCGAATCCAGGACAAGGTTTTCTTTTCCCCATGGTGATTGGGGTGGGGGCATCATCTTGTATTTGAGTAAATATGGTAATTTTAGTGATGTGACTATCCCTGCAATGGAAGGGATCAGATTGGATGGATCAAAAAGCCTTTACAGATTTCAGTAGCTGTCTATGATGTTGAAACGTCAGCTTTGTGACATAGCCCATCTTGAGGGATGGATTCTGAGTAGAGTGAGAATACTGTGGGATGTGGGGTTTGGTTTGGTTTGGTTTGGTTAGGTTTTTTTTAAAGAGGCAAGCAGCTGCAGGTGGGTTTTGTTCTGCAGTTGGTTAGAGAGGTGGGATAAACTTTCTTGTTAGAAAGTTTAGCTCTTCCCTTAAAAGAGCTAAAAGCTGAAAATTGCTTAAGTAGTTGAGTTGAAAGCAAGATTCAATGAAACAAAAATTTTAGTGGCAGGGTAGGGGAAGAAGATAGATGGAATCTTTGTCTTCTGACCAGTCAGCACAAAAATGTGGCTGAAGTGAAGAATGAGTTGGTCAGTTCAATAGTTCTGCCTTGATTTAACTCTTAATAAAATTCTTTGGGTACTAGAGAATTGCTGTATTCCATATTTCACTTGTCTTGAAATGATAGCTGCAGGTACTTTTGCTAAATAGATTGAACAGTCAGCTAGTTTTACTGTAGCTTAAAAAAAAAAGTCACACTGGTATGTCCATAGTAGAGGGAAGTTATGGAACTAGGGCTATAAAATCTTTACTACCGTGGATCTCAGACTGTTTCAGTAACTCACAGTTCTGCAGATTTTCTGCAGCTAGTGAAATTAGCAAACCTGGCACTAAATGTTTTATCTTGCATTTTATAACTGCCTCTACACTTAGTCTATAATTTCCTATTATGTTTGAATTTGTCCTTGATTTTTTAATAGCCTGTTCGTCTTTTGAAGAATTCAAGAAATATAACTGGCCTGGATAGGTCTTGGTGATTTCCACAAAGTTTTTAACACTAACGTTTTGAATGCACTGGTGTGGCAGATATACATGCATGTCATTTTTCGTGGTCATATTTGATATGAACTTGTTGCTTCAGTCATGTCTAGAATGCAAAGGCTGCAGGCACTTTACCCCAGTAATGC